GCAAACTTGGCACTGCTCTCCAGACACCTCAGAGGTGGAGACATCAGTTAGGTGCATGGAACGCGGGATGTACTCAGGACTTACACTAGCTAACAGCCACTCTTAACCATTCATCCTACAGAGTCCATGTTTTGTTCAGGAAGGAGATGAATTGCAGCTGCCTGTCAGTACATACAGTTACTGCATTTAATACAGTTCCAAGGACAATGCAACCAGACCTTTTCCCATCCTCATGTACGACTGCACAACCCCTAGCTGCCCAAGGGAGAGACGATGCTAGACCCCAGGGCTGTGTCTACATTGGCCACTTATTCCGGAAAATCAGCCGCTTTTCCGGAATAACTTGCCAGATGTCTACACTGGCCCCATGAATTTCCGGAAAAGCACTGACGATCTACTGTAAAATCATTAGTGCTTTTCCAGAAAAACTATGCTGCTCCCATTTGGGCAAAAGTCCTTTTCCGGAAAACTGTTCCGGAAAAGGGCCAGTGTAGACAGCATAGATTTCTTTTCCGCAAAAAAGCCCCGATCACAAAAATGACGATCGGGGCTTTTTTGCAGAAAAGCGCATCTAGATTGGCACGGACACTTTTCCGGAAAAAGTGCTTTTCCAGAAAAGCATCCTGCCAATGTAGACGCTCTTTTTCCGGAAATACTTATAACGGAAAACTGTTCCATTTTAAGCATTTCCGGAAAAGGGTGCCAGTGTAGACGTAGCCCAGGGGTCTGTCTCCCAGTCACCCTGTTCTAATCCACCAGATCCCAGTCCTCTCCCAAATCTGGGGGTAGAGCCCAGGAGCCCTGACTCTCAGCCCCTGTGCTCTGATCACACCCTGTAACCATTAGCTGTGTTATCAATAACAATAGCAGCACTGATAGTGACCAGTTGAACAGAGAGCCATGCAGTCAGCGTGTGAGCTGGGAAAGGCTGATGATCTGTTCCATCCCAGAGACATGCAAAGGGCAGAGAGAAGCAGGGGGCTAGTGCCAGCTCCTGTGTGGGAGGTGGGTGCACTGGAGGGTAGGGGTGACTTTGCCCAGTGTAGGAGACGGATAAGGTGAGCTGGATCCTGAGGGGTGGCTGCAGCGATGTAGGCTCAGGCTGAGCTCCCCCGGTGATCAGTTTTCTGCTGCCCTGCAAAGTCCTGCATGTAAAGGTCAACAGTCAAATGGGCATGGTCCTGCTGTTGGGTCCTTGTCAGTCCGGCAGCCCAGGGATCCAGGTGACCAATGCTGCTGTAACTGGAGAGCATTTGTGAAGGGAAGGGTGAGGGCATCTCCAGCACTCACAACTGGCAGCAGTGTCTCCAGGGAGGTCGGGTACAGCCCAGAGGGGGAGTGAGGAGCAGAGTTGGGTTCATAAAGGATCCAGCCTGTCTCCAGTTCCAGCCTTGCTGAGGGGGAGATAAACCCTGGCTAGGGCATTGGGTCCTCATCTTCAGCTATGCTATGTACTCTGCAAAGTGCAGAGAGTATCAGTGCTCCCTGCCCAGCGCCCGGCACAGGCCCACAGCACAGTGCACAGAGCCATGTTGGGAGGCTGCCGGCTGCACCCCAATTCCTGTTCTACTTACCCCTCACCTGGGCAAATTGCTCTAAGCTAAACCCTAACCCTGTGACTTCAGGCTTGAGTGGTGCTGGTATCTTAGAGCTGTCAGAGCAGCACTTCCAGAGGCAGCTCTAAGATACCAGCAAGCAGTAGAGGTTGGACAAGCAAAAGGCCTGATGCTGCAGGCCCTGTCCCTGAGGCAGTAAGGAACCAATGCTGCAAACCCTTACAGTGTGGCTACGTCTACACTGGCATGATTTTCCGCAAATGCTTTTAATGGAAAAGTTTTTGCATTAAAAGCATTTGCAGAAAAGAGTGTCTAGATTGGCACGGACGCTTTTCCACAAAAACACTTTTTGCGTAAAAGCGTCTGTGCCAATTTAGACGCGGTTTTGCGCAAGAAAGCCCTGATCACCATTTTCGCCATCGGGCTTTCTTTTGCACAAAACAGTTTTTAGCTGTCTACACTGGCCCTCTTGCGCAAAAACATTTCCGGAAAAGGGCTTTTGCCCTAACGGGAACGTCAAAGCATTTGCGCAAGAAGCACTGATTTTGGACAGTAGAACATCAGTGCTTTTGCGCAAAATCAAGCGGCCAGTGTAGACAGCTGGCAAGTTTTTGTGCAAAAGTGGCCACTTTTGCGGAAAAACTTGCCAGTCTAGATGCAGCCTGTGTGTATACCCTGAACTTCCTTCGGTCAAATCACTTCCATGCATACAGCTTCGGGTCTCCCCAGTGGCAGTGGGTGGATGCCTTTTCCTCAGATGATCATCATAATGTATTTCCTATACTCTGCACCCAGATGCTATGCCCATCCCCATCCATGGGCTCACACCTGTCAGTGAGGGCTGCAGCTGACCTTGAGAGCAAGCAGTGATGAGCTTCAGCCCATATGCGAGGTCTGGTGGTTTTGCGAGGGTAGGGAATTTAAGGCCCTGGGGCTTGCCTGGATCTGGCCCCTGAGGCTCAGGGCTTCCCCTCCCAGCACTGGGGAGCCCACGCTGGCACTCCAGGCCCCCCGCAACCTCACCACAGAGCTGGAGCACACAAAATCTACTAGCCTGGGCTGCCTTAGGCTCTGGTATGCGTGGAGAATGTCTTTCTGCTTTCAATTGGAGGCTACATCAGTGAAAGTTTGGTTTTCTTTTTCTGCATCTCACTTGTGTGCAGCCCCCAACTGATTTTTCTGTGGGTCAGTTTCCCCCGACTCCCAAAAACAGTTTCCCACTGCTAGTTCTGAGGCTCCTGGCTGCTTTTGGCTAAATGGGGGGCAGAAGGTACATGAGTTTTTTGCACCTCTGACTCAGGCTAAGTTTCCAGAAATGCTCTTTGCTGTGCTTACTGAAAAGCCAGTCCCAACTGGGGATGCTAACCTCATCACACCGGGCCCTCAGCTCTTGTACAAATCTGGCCCTTAATGCTTTCACCAGCTCTAGCAATTTCATGGCTAACTCACTGGATTCCAGAGCTCTGGTCTAAGTTAGCAACGGCAGAAGGTGGGGGGAGGATGAAGGAGGAGTAATAAGCTTTGGCTTCTGATTTAGATGAAGCAATGTGAACTCAAGGGAAAAGGCTACATGCCTTTATTACCGCTCATTCTCTCAACACTGCACCTGTCTTTACAGAAGCATGATGCCCCTCACTCAACAGTCAGAGTTTTTCAGGGCAAAGGTCCCAACAGGCCTGTGGGGCTCTGAGGAATCTGACCTACCAGCCCAGTGTGTACCATGGCCTGGTCAGGTGATCAGGCCTGCTGCCTAAGGCTGGGACCTTATTAGCTCCAGTTAAAGAGGCTGGTCTGTGCTGCTGGCTCAGGAGCTTTGTTCACTGAAGTGCTGTGACTGGAGGTCATTATAGAGACCTGCATTGGGTCCTTCAGGGCTGAGGAACTGGATTCTGCCCCCTTCCCAAAACACTGGAATCCCAGAGTGGGGCAGTAGCAGAGCCAGAGGCTTGACAGGAAAACAGAGCCCCATGAAAATCCCCGCAAACAGCAGATTCAGGCTCCACGGCACCGTACCAGCTGCTAAGAGGACTTGGAGCAGGGGAGGGAGGAACTGCCCAGAACTGGTGTGTCCAGCTCTCTTGAAAACTTGGTATGAGAGTGAGCTGTCAATTAACCCTCAGACAGAGAGAGAGAGAGAGAGAGAGAGGAAGGGAGATGGGGCACCTAATCACTATACAATGACAGCTGGCTGCCCTGGGATGCTGTCATCGGTCATATACAGCCAGAGGCCCCCGGAGAGCTAGGAGATGTTTTAGTACTTTTTTTTTCAGCAGAAAATGCAGATTCGGTGACACTGTGACATTTTGCAAACTTGTGTCAGCTTCACCAAATTCTTTGTTTTGAGAAATCAAACAAAAAATCTGAACAAATTTAAATGTTTTGATTTCTCTTTGACTTTGAAGTTGCCAACAAACCAAAAAAAAAAATCACTTCTTCCCCCAGCTCTAGTCCCGGGTCCCCTGCAGCAAGGGAACTCACTGGGTCTCTTTGTGGATGCCTCAGGAGCCATGTCAGGGCAGGCAGCCATTCCTGACAGCCAGAGGCTGTGCAGTGGCAAGGGGTTACAGGTCTCTCTGGTGTGCTGAGGAGTCAGGCCTTGCCCTTTTACACACTGTGCCTCTGGACAGGATCCCCACAGCACATGTGCTGGTGGCACAAGAGGCATCGTGTAGAGCTAGTGTCCTTACACAACATCGGCAATAGGAAGGATCCATCTGGGCAGGGGTTTCCCTCCAAATAACTGTAATTACCAATACCCACTGCAGACAAGGCCTAGCTACATCCACACACTGCCGCTCAGGTGGAGGTCTGGTGGCTTCCAAACTCAGAATGCAGTGAGCGCCCCATCCATTGGATAATCCGCCCTCTCCCCCATTAGTGGGGTCTTGTCTCCCCAGAAGCACTTAGAAGGGCTGCTGAAAGGGCTTTCACCCAGCTCAAAGCCTTATTCTGAGCCAGGGGGACCCTGTGCCTGGAATGGGGAAGGAGGCTGTCACATTTGGGCCTCATGTGCAGCGGTAACAGCACAGACCTCATAAGACATTGACCTCTCCTTCCGCCCCTGGAGTTGGGTTGAGGAGGCTGAGGAGGGCTATTCCTGGCAGCAGCCCCTCCTCCTAATGGAGGCAGCAGATCCTTGGCCTGTATGAGATGAATGGGAGTCTCAGCTGTGTCCCTTTTGGACTGTGCCCATTCCACCCAGCACTCACCAGACCCTTGTCCAAGACAAACAAGGGGGATCAGGTCACAAAGCCTGATGACTTTGTGCCTGCAGTGTAGGAGGCTGCTGAATGGACAGGGCACCACCACTTGGAGCTAGGCGAGGAAGCACTCCCAGGATGCCCCCAGGCTCTCATGGAGCACCTAGGGATGAGGTGGTGTATAAGGTGCAGGGCCTGGCTCTGTGTCTAGTGGGCCCTAGCTCAGCCTGTGTTGTGTCCACAGGACTCAGTGATGGCCCAATGCCCAGGAGCAGCAGCACTGGCCGTGCTGGATGAGATGCTGGAGATCACGGCCCAGAGCCTTGTGCGCACAGAGGTGGCTGAGCACTACCAGGTCATCCGGGAGCTGGGCAGGGGCAAGTATGGCCATGTGGTGCTGGTGACTCACAGGCAGAGAGGTAAGGAGCTACCCTCACCTTGACCCTGCGTGCCACCCTATCATTGCTGACTGCTCCCCCTGCCCCTTAGCTCCTCTCTCCTCCCACCCCAAATCAGGAAAATAGTCCCATCTACACTGGAATCCCTCCCTGTCAATGCTCTGGATCAGAACAAATGGGTCCATCTAGTCTGGTATCCCCTACCCCTGCTGACCCAGGTCACAACCTACCCACCCTGCATGCAATTCACTGGTCCAATCTCAGAACAGCCAGGAATGGCCATCCTCTTAACCAGCTCCTACAGTGCACACCTGCCAAGGCTGGTGCTCTGCCTGCGGCAGTCAGTTCCACAGTTCCATGTCCCATGGCTGCCCAATGCCCAGCCTGCCTGGCCATGCTGTGAGCTGCTCTTCAAGAGGAGCCTAATCTCTCTCCCACATTCTCAGGGACGCCCATGGCTCTCAAGCTGCTTCCCAAAGCTCACACCAAGCTACAAACCTTCCTGTATGAGTACTGCGTGGCGCTCTCCCTCGCCACCCATCCTGCCATCATCGGCATGTTTGGTATTGCCATTGAGTCCAGCCAGCACTATGGCTTTCTCTATGAGCCCGCACTGCACAGAGACCTTATCTCCATCATCAAGCCACGGGTGAGTGCTACCCCACGGGAAGGGGAACTGGAACTCAGCATCAATCCAGCTCCAGCACAGGAAATGAGACATGGGGCTGTCTCCTGAAGGAGGCACTAGCTCCCATCCGGCCAATCCATAGGGGACTAGCAGGCTTAGGGGGTGCTGGAATAGGGAAAGGGATACAGGGTCTTTCCCCATTAGGAGGCACCAGCTCCAATCGATCCCCAGCGTATGGGACTGGCTGAGGAGGGGCAGGGAATGGGACACAGAGTATTGTCCTATTAGGTCGGGGGAATGGCTATATCCTTAGAGCACCCATCTTCAACATAGGAAGTGCCAGAGTCTCCCCTACATGCAACGCTGGCTGGTGCCTGTCTGGCTGGCTATGCTGCCATGGCACTGTGGGTTGCAACGTCTCCTCTCTCTGTCCCTGGGCAGGACGGGATCCCTGAGCCAGCTGCCAAGCAGTGTGCCAAGCAGTTGGTGAGCGCGCTGGAGTTTATACACAGCCGGGGGCTGGTGTACCGAGACGTCAAGCCCGAGAATGTGCTGCTCTTTGACCCTGAGTGCAAGTGCATCAAGCTGACTGACTTCGGGCTCACCCGACCCAAGGGCACTCGGCTCAAGCTAGTGGCAGGGGTGATCCCCTACACTGCTCCAGAGCTGAGCAACACCACCAATGCCCAGGGCCTGCCCATTGATGCCAGCCTGGATGCCTGGGCCTTCGGTGTGATGCTCTTCTGCCTGCTGACTGGCTACTTCCCCTGGGAGCAAAGCCTGCCAGCTGACCCCTTTTTTGAGGACTTTATGCTATGGCAGGAGTCGGGGCTGGCTGAGGACCTGCCACGACATTGGAGGCGCCTGACAGCTGAGGCCACCCACATGCTGCGGAGCCTGTTGGCCCTGGATCCTGCCCAGCGCAGCCCTGTCAGCGGAGCCCTGCAATATGTCAACAGCCCCTGGAGAGTGGAGAACTGGCATGGTGAGGAGCAGGCTGTGGCGCCCTAGAGAACCTCCACTAGGGGAGTGGACGCCATCCATAGGATGGTCAGGGTCCACGGCCCTGCAACAAGCCTCCAACAGGGCAGAAATCCATTGAAAGGGGCTGTCAAAATAACAGCTGTGGCAAGATCTGTTTGAAAGCACCGAGCTCCAGTTCCTGCCAGGCACCAGTTCTCCTCTGGGTGCCACATGCCCTGCAGGTGCAGTTCTCACTGGGCACTGATTCCCATTGGGTGCCAAACCCACCCAGGCCACTCATTTCCCAGTTTGTGCCACTCCCCTCCACCTCCCACCAGGTGTCGATTCCCTCCAGGCACCGGTTCTCCCCCTGGCACTGGATCAGCAATGGGAGCCCCTTCCACCCCTCCCATCCCCAACTACCCCACCCCTTCCCTGATAAAGGCATGTCTTATTGCTGTGTGGAGCACACCCCCTGGAGCAGTTTCTGTGCGCTGCAGCCATTGCATTATGATAGAAATAGAGATTTATTCATCATTTAACTCCAATCTGTGGCTCCTTTTCACTTGTAATAAAACCCATAAGCGGGGCCCCTAGGTGGGTGAAAAGAGGTTACAACAGGCACTCTTCCTGCTTGAGACTCCACCCAGAGTCCACCTGCAGGGTGCCAGTGGGCAGCTGGGGGACAGGGGCTGGAGAGCAAAAGGGCTGGAAGGAGGTAGCTAGGTTCCAGGTTGGGCAGGAGTCAGTAGATGAGTTTTAGGTCTGACAAGAAGTTAGATGGGGTGGGGGGGCTAGGGTTTCAAAAAGGGACCCTGGCAGCTCCAGTCAGCACTACTGACCAGGCCATTAGAAGTCTGGTTGGTTCAGAGTTGTGTGGCTCCCCAGAAATGGTGACATGTCTCTCGGCTCCTAGGCAGAGGGACAGCCATGAAGGCTTCACACCCTGCCCCTTCCTGCCCCAAGTGTTCCCCAGCCAATGGCACCTGTGAGCAGAGGCAGCACACAGAGATACCTGGTCGGGATTCCACCAAGGAGCTGAGGGGCATGTTACTGCTTCCAGGAGGCATCGTAGGTAAGCACTTCCCAGAGCCCACAACTCGAACCCCGTCTACACCACTCCCCTGCCTAGTCTTGAGTCCCTGTCCTCATTCTGAACCCCTCAGCTGACCCAGAGCACCCTCCTGCATCCCAATCTCCTCATGCTCAGCCCACCCTAGAGCCTGCACCTCCCAGACAGAGCCCGCTACCCCCTATATCTCCCCCAGAACCCCTCATTTCTACCCACCTCAGAGCCCGCATCCCAGAACTCATACCCCTGGCACACCCCAACCTCCTGCCCCTGACACAGACTCCTCCTGCACTCCAAACCCTTGCCTCAGCTTGGAGCTCCTCCAATATGCCACAACCTACAGTCCCACCCCCATCCTAGAGCCCCCTCCCATATCCTGAACCCATCATTCCCGGCCCCACCACAGAGCTCGCAGCACCAACCAATGCCCGCTGTCATCCCCTCCTACACCCCAACCCCCGCCCCACCCCAGTGAAATAAGTGAGTGAGTGAGGGTAGGGGAGAGCGAGCGACAGAAGAAGGGGCTATAGAGTGAGTGGGGGTAGAGGGTCAAAGAAGGGGTGGGGCGGGGCAGGTCCTCAGGGAAGGGGCAGGGCAGAGGGCAACACAGAGCATTCAGTTTTGTTTGTACGGGCACTTGCTTCCACCCTGTTGCCGGTCTGCTCTTTTTGTTGGGTGCTGTGCTGTTGGTCCCCTGTGTTGCTCATATACCTAGTTTATGACTGCTCATGGCAAAAACTCATTCTATGACTGTCCTTCTGCTCCTGGCCCTGGGTCTCTTTGTCTGCGCCTGACAACTGTCTGCTACTATTCCATACTTGTCTTCAGTTTCATCGCCTGTGCTCTCCAGAGTCTGTAACTGCCTCATATGAACTGATTGCTGTTCTTGCCTGAATCAGTTGTCCAGATCAGTGTTTCTCAATCAGTGGTACGAGTACCCTGAGGGGTACTTGAGAGAAGTCTGGCAGGGGTACATTAACACAACTGAAATTTGGAGAAAACTGAATTTTTGTTTTAAGTTTTACAGCTCTTTGTTATTTTCGTATTTTTTACATCCAAAAATTTCATCACCCACCCGGCTACAATTAAGTTGTTTAAACAAATGTGTTGCAATGGTAGAAAAAAATGCATGTGTCTGAAAACTGTAGGTACTGGGGGTACTTTTTTTTTTTTTAAAGAAGTACTTCATAAAAAAAAGTTGAGAAACACTGGTCCAGATAATCTACCTCCCAGTAGTTAGAGCAGTGACCTATTGTGACGATGTAGCTCCTGTCGTTAAAAGTGAACAGGTCTGTTTTTACCTTACAGCAGTGTTTCTCAAAGTGGCCCGCGGACCCACTCTGAGAAAGCTGCTACCGGGCCGCTCTGGTTTGTTTACTTACTGGTTCCGCAGCCATGGAGCCGCGCAGTTCCCATTGGCTGCAGTTCATCATTTACAGCCAAGGGAGCTGCAGGAATCAGTGGCCTGAGTCATGCTGGTAAGTAAACAAACTGGAGCGGCCCGGTAGCAGCTCTCTCAGAATGGCTCCATGGACCACTTTGAGGAACACTGCCTTACAGGGATGTCATGAGTCTACATAGGCTCCTTTTGTTGCTGATCACCATGGATGGTGTGAATAAGAAGCTTCAGCAGGCTTAAGCCATGTCTACACCAAAAAGCAATATTTTTACACAAAACTTTGTAATGACAAAAAAGTGAGATCATACTCACTACAATGTGACTTTTGTTGGGAAAAAATGACCAGTACTGGTGATAAAAAACTTCCACCCCATGAGAGATATTTTCCTCCTCCCTTTATTGTTGATAAACAGCATGCTTAGATGCCACTCCTGCCTTTATTACTTTTATTGGCTTCCAGGATGTGTCCCACAAAGCCCATGCTGACTGATCTGGTCAACAGTTTGACCTCAGTTGCCCTGCATCCAGGTAAACAGCAATCCACTCCTCCCCCTTAGAAGTCCTGGGAATTTTAAATTCTATACTTGCTTGCTGGATCTGCATGAAGTGATCTGATTGCATCTTCCCAGGTTACATGGGCTGGCTATCAAACCAAACCCCTTTCCCTCTTGGACCACTGTGGAGCTTTGTATCTGACCAGTATATGAGGAGAGAAGTCTGTGCTTCCAGGAGGCATCGTAGGTAAGCACTTCCCAGATGTATAACAACATGATTCAACTAATTCAACTGTATAACAGCATGATTCAACTAATTTTATATAATATAAAAATTATTATATATTTTAAAAATAATGTTACACGTCCTATCTTAAATGTAATGAAGAAAAACATGTTTTGCAAACAAACAAACAAAAAACCCGTAAGTGGGTAACATAAAATATTCTCTATGGGCCAAATCTAGCTTCCTTTACTCACACAAACAGTTCCACTGATTTCATCAAGAAGATTTATGTGAATCAAGCAAGTAGAATAGCCTTGATTTAATATATAATATAGGCAAATTAAATTTCAGAATGGGATAACCATGGAAGATGACAGCTAAAGCGCCTCACTCAAATACAGCCCCTCCACACACATTCAAGGTTGTAATAAATATATTAAGAATGGGAAAAACAGAAATTTGATCAATAGCTTTTCAATCAAGCAGACGAAAGGTGTAACAAGATTAAATGGCCCCAAATTGAAGCTAGACATATGCAGTCTAAAAATAAAGTGCTTTTTTTTAAACCACTACTACAACTTCCAAGGATAGTGGTGGATTTTCCATCACTCAAAATGTTATAAGTCAAGACTGGATTTTTTACTAGAAGATATGCTCTAATTCAACCACAACCACTACTGGACTTTAAACAGTAATTAATTCATGGAAGTCCTATAGCTTGTATTATGTAGGAATTCAACCAGATTGTCAGAATGGTCCCTTCCATACTAAAATCTATGACTACATCAAGAAATCTTTGGGAAGAACCAAGGGCCACCTTTTCCAAAACACAGCCATCTCCGTGATTCTAAGAGATGTCATATACAAATTCAATGATACTTAGTGCCATGTAGAAAGTCTTTAAAGAAACTGCTATTGTGCTGCAACTCAGCTATTAACTCATGGCATCGCTACTGCATATGTACACCTAATGCAGTGTTTCTCAAAGTGGTCCACGGACCAACTCTGAGAAAGCTGCTACCGGGCCGCTCTGGTTTGTTTACTTACTGGTTCCGCAGCCATGGAGCCGCGCAGTTCCCATTGGCTGCAGTTCATCATTTACAGCCAAGGGAGCTGCAGGAATCAGTGGCCTGAGTCATGCTGGTAAGTAAACAAACTGGAGCGGCCCGGTAGCAGCTCTCTCAGAATGGCTCCATGGACCACTTTGAGGAACACTGCCTTACAGGGATGTCATGAGTCTACATAGGCTCCTTTTGTTGCTGATCACCATGGATGGTGTGAATAAGAAGCTTCAGCAGGCTTAAGCCATGTCTACACCAAAAAGCAATATTTTTACACAAAACTTTGTAATGACAAAAAAGTGAGATCATACTCACTACAATGTGACTTTTGTTGGGAAAAAATGACCAGTACTGGTGATAAAAAACTTCCACCCCATGAGAGATATTTTCCTCCTCCCTTTATTGTTGATAAACAGCATGCTTAGATGCCACTCCTGCCTTTATTACTTTTATTGGCTTCCAGGATGTGTCCCACAAAGCCCATGCTGACTGATCTGGTCAACAGTTTGACCTCAGTTGCCCTGCATCCAGGTAAACAGCAATCCACTCCTCCCCCTTAGAAGTCCTGGGAATTTTAAATTCTATACTTGCTTGCTGGATCTGCATGAAGTGATCTGATTGCATCTTCCCAGGTTACATGGGCTGGCTATCAAACCAAACCCCTTTCCCTCTTGGACCACTGTGGAGCTTTGTATCTGACCAGTATATGAGGAGAGAAGTCTGTGCTTCCAGGAGGCATCGTAGGTAAGCACTTCCCAGAGCCCACAACTCGAACCCCGTCTACACCGCTGCAATTGGCCCATAGGATTGTGTGGACACATTTCTTGAGGTTTTTAGGTGAAAAGAGTTATGATCAGAACACTTCTCATTTCAGAGTGAAGAGAAAGGAGCTGAGACAGGTACATGACATGTCATATCACAACAGTACATAACAGGATGTTTAGCACAGACCTAAGCTGCACCATGCTCCATTCCACCTTCTCACAATGTCTAGTGACAGAAGGTGTTGCCAGGCACTGAGAAATATGTACCCACAGTGCATGGCTCACTCAGTTGATGATGGTGCCCCCATTGTGGACATGATCTGTCAACAGAGAGAGCAAGCATCAACACCCTTTGGCGATTTTGGTTTTGTCGATTTTTTCCAAGTTAACATGAATTTTATCAACAAAACTTTGTAGTGAGACAAGGACTTAGCTTCCCCAAAATAAAAGGTTGGCTATGCCAGGACCAAATGTCAGCTGCAGGTCACATCCCTTTGGAGGTGCACTGGCTTGCTTTCTTTGTGCCCTGGAATTAGGACTGCTGGAAGCTCCCAAGAAGAGAGAGGGCCTCCAATGTTCAGAGCATGGCCCTGCTCCATTCCTCCCCTCCCTTTAAGGGCAAGTGTTGTGTTGGAGGAGGCAGAAAGGAGCAAATAGTGAGTGTTGCTTTGGTGGAAGCAGGGGAACTGGGCAGGAAGAGGAGCAGAGCCTGGGGGGTGGTGGGGACATGGCCACAGTCTGGGCTTCTATGGAGCTTCCGACACTCCTGGGAGTAGTATCCCCAAATGAAAGACTCACGTGCCACCTATGTTGATCACTATACTGTTTGTAACCTTGCACTATTCCATGCATGCTCACAAATGGGCATGCATACCTCGCCAGTAGATTCCCTGGCTGAGACTCTCAGCCTTGGCTCTGTATTTAGGCATGAACCGTGTGTCAGCTCCTAAATCTGTGGGGTTATTCCTTGGTCTGCTTTAAACAAAATCCTGTATTGCACACGCAGCTCATCCCTCACCTGGGAGTAGAGGGAACCTCCTGTGGCACTTGTTCCTTTTTCTCTGGCCGACCCTGGAGTCATTCTACTGCTTGCAGTACCTATCATGTCTATTTTGTTAGATTGCATGGGACAGCCCATCAGAGAAGCAAAGGCAATCTACAGTCACTTTTCCTTTCCACAGAGCCAACTATGTTCTAGTCTGGAAGGTAAACCCATCTCACAGTCTGCTTCAGGGGGCAGCTAAGTTTGTCTGTACAGGAAAACACAACAATGGTCTGGTAGCACTTTAAAGACAAACAAAACATGTAGATGGTATCAGCATAGCCCACTTCTTCAGATGACCGGAGTTTGTTTCCATCTCACAGTATCTGCCACCAGCAGTGACTTTTCTGGGCAGGAACTTACAGTTCTGTATTCTCAGTGGCATGTTATACTCACTTGGGTGCACTCAGCAGTTGATTTTTCATGATGCTTTATAACGAATGACTTGTAATCACACTGCACATCCTCATGGTGCTCAGCAGTGAACTGGAACCATTCCATTCCAAAGATCACAGCCTGTCGCTCTTTTCCTACCCGAGTTTACCGCTTCCAGTGTCTGTCAGCACTCCGCTAGCTAATGCTATGGGTGGCAAGCTTTGCTTCAGTGCTGCTTTTAGGCTTCCCTGTCAGCTTCCCTTTGTAGCTCTAGCTGCTCTGTAGGGTTGTAGCACTTCAGGACTAGCACATTGCTTGTGATTTTCTTGACTCTTGCAAATGCCTGTTATTGGGTCTCTGACCATTCCCATGCGGCATCACTGCATGTCATCTGTTGGGGCTGAAGGGACTCACAGGTTTCTGATAGTGACTCTAGCCATGAGTGGTACTGCTACATGTCAACCACACTAAACTGCAAGCAGTAACGTTTCTTGTTCTGTGAGTTTCTTGTTGACTGCCCATCACAAGCAGTTGGCCTCATTTCTCCACATTTCTTTACCTCATCTAATGTTGCTGCTTACCAGTGCTGCTGGGATTACATTGCAGCTGGCTCCAGAATCCATCTGGAATCAAATTGCTTGTTGATCTAACAACATAGTTATGAATATGGCAGTTAAATGGCTGGCAGCCTTCTTCTGCAGTGCATGCACACTGGGAGCCTTTGGATCTGCCAAAGCAGGGGTCTCCAACCTTTTTAAGCACTTTTTGAATTTAAGTGCAATCCAAGATTTACCTCAACCTAAATACCCCTGCCCCCACCTCCTTCATGCCCCTTCTCCAAGGCCCCATGTCTGCTCACTCCATCGTCCCTCACTTTCACCAGGCAGGGGAAAAGGTTGGGTGCAGGCTCTAGTCTTGGATTAAGGGATTTAGAGTGTGAGGGGCTCTGAGCGAAGCTTGGGGCAGGCAGTTGGAGAGCTGGAGGGGGGTTCTAGGTGCAGGCTCTGGGAGTGTTTATGGATGCAGGGGGGCTGGGGCAGGGACGTAGGTGCAGGAGGAGGTTCATGACTGGGGCAGGGTTTCAGGATGTGGGCTCCAACTGGGCACTGCTTACCTCAGGTGGCTCCTGGGAGGTGGTGCATTGGGGCTAAGGCTCACCCCTGCCCTGGCCCTGCACCACTTCCAAAAGCAGCTAGTTAAGTCCATCCCAAGTCCTGTTGTGCCCCCTCTCTGCTCTGTGGAGATAGGATACAAGGTGGGAGAAGGGGCACCTTGACATCAGCACCCCTCCTCTCTCTCCATTCCTGGGGGTGGGGGAGGCAGCTCCAAGGCAAAGGGCAGGGGTTGCACAGCAGTAGGGGGAGGGGCAGCTGAAGTGCCAGCACTTGGTAGCATCTTGGCCAAACCAGTGAGGATCACCTGTCAGAGGCTCCAAGATCTACCAGTAGATCCCAAGCTACTGGTTGGTGACCACTGTGCTAAAGAAGGGATGGGCAAACTTTTTGGCCTGCGGGCCATACGGTAGGGAAGTTGTATTGAGGGCTGGTAGGAAGCTGGGGGAGTCTGGGAAGCAATCAAGTGCTGGCACTTCAGCTGCCCCTCGCCCAGGTGTGGCCCAAGTCCCCCTCATAAGCCTCCCCCCCACTGCCCACTGCCTGACCACCCCAAGACTCCTGCCCCATCCAACACTCCTGCTCCTCACCCCTTGAATATGCCCTGCAACACCACCTCCTATCCAACCCCCTCCTGTTTTCCGACCCGACTGCTGCCCCAGGACCTCATCCACCCCCTATTCAACTCCCCAGCCTTGCTTCCCACCCCTGACTTCCGCCCAGAACCCCCACCCCCTATCTAACCCCTCTCTGATGCCTGCCCCCGACCATTTTACCCAGAGCACCTGGACTGCGGGAACTGATGCTGGGGGCAGGCAGATGTGGAGGAGCAGGGGCTAGCTGCACATGCTGGCTGTGGCCTGCAGGCTGTAGTTCACCCCCCTGCATAAAGTCACACTGTCACTGCTTTCCTCTTTGCTGGAAGTCTATGTCCTCAAACACATCGTGCACTTCCTAGAATAGCTGCGGTATTGGGATATAGGAGTTGTTCTATTTCTCATGCACCTCTACCATTGCTGCCCTTAGGCCAGGCATTTTCATTTCTGCCTTTTGGATTGCTTTCCATAATATATATACAGGATACCTGCATTCTTGGTCAGCCTGTCTCTGTCTTGTTCTTGGGTTTCTTTGCATGAGCCTGTTTGTTTCACTTCCTAGAATAGCTGCGGTATTGGGATATAGGAGTTGTTCTATTTCTCATGCACCTCTACCATTGCTGCCCTTAGGCCAGGCATTTTCATTTCTGCCTTTTGGATTGCTTTCCATAATATATATACAGGATACCTGCATTCTTGGTCAGCCTGTCTCTGTCTTGTTCTTGGGTTTCTTTGCATGAGCCTGTTTGTTTGTTCTGCACTGGTGGCTGGCACTGTTTTTGCTATTTGGAAGTATTCCTCTAGGATTAAAGCTGATTCTTTCTACAATCTCTTGGTAAGATGGAATTGCATGTCCCACAAATGATGCTGCCTCTTTTTAATAAGAAATCTTTAATGTCTCCAAAGTAAAATGTGGATGCCAGAGTTCTCAGTTCTGTAACCTAATATCTATTCCCTTTTTTGCTTTTTGGCTTTTGGTAAATGACAGCTTCTGTCTACAGCCTCATTCTGTCGGGGATCAAACATCTTTATCAGCCGTTCTAGTATTTTGGGCATTATTCCAAGCAATTGGGTCTCGCTCATTTCTCATCTTTCCCCCCCAATGAGATACTAAAAAAGCTTCCTTTTCTCATCTGTACCCAATACTGTGCAGACTCAGTTCTAGCTTGCATGTGGTTTTTTTTTAAATCCCAGATTCTCAGTAGTCTGAGTACCTCCATGCTGCCTCTGCTCTGTTTCTAGATATTCTGCATTGTTTACCTGTTAACAATATGCTGTCCTTTGCTGTGGATCTCATTAGATTGACCAGGTCAACGACCACCATGTTTCATGTACTATATGGTAGGTATCAACCAGAGCCAGACTAAAGGGCGGGCTAGTCGGACAGCTGCCCAGGGTGCCAACTTACGAGGGGCGCCCAGCTCCCAGCGGGCTGCAGCGTCCGCCTGGGGTGGGGGCCGTGTTAACCCCCGCAGCACCAGTCAGCAGCAACCTTCCCCCCCATGGCCGCAGGGCCCTGCACGGCCAGGAGCAGCCAGTCCCTGGCAGCCCTGGGCTGGGCGTCATCGGTGGCGGCCGGGCTGACTGGGCAGTGCATGTGCCATGCATCCGCCCACATGCCCCAGGGGCAGGCCCGTGCATGTGCTGTGTGCCCGGAGGTGGGGCCGTGGGCCCTGGGGTTGGTGCCACACACCTGAGGCTCAGGGTGCCAAGATGGCTCGGGCCAGCCCTGGTACTAACAAGACTGGACCATGTTATTGGCTCAGAGGTGCTGCCATTCTAACCCATGTGCACACAGACTGGCTTCTTGATGCCTCTTCCAAATTTTTCCCTCTTGCAATCTTTGCACCTCCTTCCAAGTTCCAAGCAGGCTGCTACCTCATCAAATCCAGGACTGGATGCCTTTCTGCAAGTTATGTGCTAGTCAAACACAAAATATGCATGTTATTGGGCTTAGTACAGGAGTAACTGGATGAAATGAAATGGTGTGTGATACACAGAAGTCAGGCTAGATGATCTAATAGTCCCTTCCAGCTTTAAACTCTAGGCCCTGGTCTACACTAGAGAGTGATTTCAAAATATACTCCCTCATCACATATATAGTAGCCCATTGTCTGTGAGTCTAACGCTGACGTACACAGCCACGCCCCCTGGCTGTGCATGTCAGCGCCACGCCCCCCTTCCCCTCCCTCCCTGGCGGCTTGGCTGAGTGCTGCGCCGCTCAGCTGGGCCCCGGCGGGGGAGCAAGTGGCAGCAAAGGGCCCAGAGTGATTTCAAAATATACTCCCTCATCACATATATAGTAGCCCATTGTCTGTGAGTCTAACGCTGACGTACACAGCCACGCCCCCTGGCTGTGCATGTCAGCGCCACGCCCCCCTTCCCCTCCCTCCCTGGCGGCTTGGCTGAGTGCTGCGCCGCTCAGCTGGGCCCCGGCGGGGGAGCAAGTGGCAGCAAAGGGCCCCAAGGCTC